AAGTCTGCATTTTCACTATCTGCGCTGCTTTGAAATCCACTTCTACATTACTCGATAGACACCGCTTCTTTCTATAGTCCTATAAGTTCATTCTTTAACGTTATCACTGCTTTCATCTCACGTCTTCTTTGATTTGATTTTTTCAACAATAGATCAACATCATGGCACAAGGGTAGTTCAACCCATGAGTGCTCCGTTCTACTCAAGCCTGAGTCCCAAGAATCTCAGCGCAGCACACGAACTCCGTAGAGCCGGCGAGGATCATAAACTACTCTGGGTAGATTTTGCCTGGGCAGGGCGGTTAGGCTATGACTCTTTTCGATTTTCATTAGCTAAGGGATTTTTTTTTTGTATGTGCGAAACAATACACACGGGCGTCCGATCTTACTATACAGAGACCAATGGAAATTACTAGAAGTCCACGTGAAAAAATCCCAGCCTTCATCGGCTCTTGAACGCGGGACCTACAGCATTCGAGGCGGACGCCACACCTCGAGACCCTCTCCTATGGTCTTCTCCTACCCCTTCGGTTGTCATCTTTTCCTATAATGAATATTTGCTCCTTAAGAAATTAAACAACAAACTCTAATAGACAAAAGCAGTTGAACTAACAAATTTAGGGTAGACACAACTCGTATCGTCAGCAGAGGGCAGCAACTCTCTATAAATCAACTTTAAACAACAACAACACTCTACCCAGAAATGGAATATGTCAACTACTACTTGTGTAGGAAGGATGCGACACATATGGTTAATCAATGGCCATAAGGAAATACTCATTCAATTATGGCATCACATGATGTGTAGCTTCTTCTTCTTCTTCTTTTTCTTCTTCCCTAATCAGTTTCTGAAGAAACATCAAGTGAGCGCCTTGGTATGTGCCTTGTAGATGCAGGTAATTACGGCCTCGGCTTTTCCACATATCCATCACTTGCCCAGTCGACCTACAGCTCTGCTGGCCTTAGATTAAAGTAACAGGTCTCTCTGTGCAGTGTCTGGTGGTAGTCTTAACACATGTCCAAACCATCTGATCTGTTGCCTGTTGATATAGTTTAACACTGGTTCACACCTAGTTTTTTCCCCCTTGATATCTTTATTTCGGATCCAGTCTCCTAAATTCGCCAAAGATATTTTATGTATGTTGTTTCAAAATTTTTCCTGTTGTCGTTAATGTCCACGTCTAGCACAATGTTCGTAACACATGTAAAGGCCCCTTGTCCATGCCTATCAGGCGTACTGGGTATACAGGCCTAGACCTATATTTTACAGACCAAAGGGCACTTGGTGGATGATGTGGTCAGCATTACACCGGCCACCTTTACTTCCCATGACTGTACCTGGTACCTACTAATCTTGGGTCGACCTGAGAGCCAGGTTTATTTAAAAAAAAAAAAAAACGGCCCTCTTCAGGAACCGAACCCACGATATTCCGATCCACAGGCGAGCGTCTAGCCGCTAGACCACGGCGGGCCCGTTCGTAACACAATGATGGTTGAAAATAATACACTTTTAATAATTAAAACTTGTTCCGTGTTAATTGTTACATGTTTGTTCTGCACAATTAGAGACATTAGCCCAATGGTTTGATTGGCTTTAACACATATGTGATCTATCTCGGCTGGATAACAGACAGATGAAAGCGGGACTAGGTCCCACGTCTCGAACAAATCTGCCCTTAGCTTCTCACAGGAATCTACAGATCAATTAAATGTTTGTGCATTCTAGACAAAGCATTAAAGTCTACTGTGTTCGTAAATTACTGCTGTGTTTGTTATTCGACATATGCTTCGTTAATATACATTTCTGTAACCTATGGTGCCATTTCAATGGTTTGAAATGAATTCTGCCCGAATACCATAGTTGTGAATTTCAAGCTGTACAATAGACATGGCCAATAAGACACCTTTGGGGAGGGGGGGGGGGTGGGTGCGCCTAGTTGATCATGTTCTTAGTGTGCTTGATTCCACAGCGAGGCGCACACGCCGTCTGGAGGTGACAGATTCGATTTCCGGAAAGCTCACTATAGTTTTCGATTTTTATGTTGTCTAGTGTGTTCCATTTTTCTATTTCTTCCTATGAGTGCCGATCAATACATTTTCTGTCACTTTATTAAAATACCCTTACCTTCTGACAACCCAAGGGCTTCCTGCACTACTGAACAGGAACATGCCACATCTCCTGCAAGACTCGGGAAGGTGCGAAACATGACGTAGCCTTGCCCACTCCAACTAGCAACTAAGCTTTCAACTAAGCTTTGAAAACCTAAGAGAGTTTGAGCTGACAGCCCAGTTTATTTCCCACATTGACTTCGGCGCATGACTAGAGACCGTAGAAGAAAAAACTAACAATTTAGTGTGGGTTCCGGGGCCCTATAATAGGGAAAACAAGAACAGACCCACTGCCTACCCCCCCCCCCCCCCCCCAAAAAAAAAACATGTTGTAAGAGTCGACTAATTAGGAGCTTCTTTCGAAGTCAGGGTGCATCTGCCTGAGAGGCAAGGAACCAGCAATCATCATACAAATGAGTCAGATCGGTAAAACGAATGCACACGCAACTCAGGTTCTGAAACAGGACTGTAGTCAAGAAGTGGACGAACAACCAGAACTTTCCAGAGTTTACAGCTGGTAAACGTGAAGAAGAAGAAGATGGAATAAATAAAAAAATGACAAGACGGTTGTAAAAACAGTGTTTTTTATTTAGTGCCACCAAAAGACACAGGATGCGTTGTTTAGCGGCACCCAAAGAATTATTTCTACTTCCTGGTAGTTATATATCCGCCGTGCTCATTCCTCACTTTATATCGACAGTTGAACAAATGATGGAATGTGTTTGTTTCGTTTCTGTCCGGCGACCCACTGACATTTTACATTACCTTAATGTCGCGCGTAATTTGAAGTGAAGCGTAGAGCAGACGAATTAGGTTACAGTGGTATTAGAGGGCGGGAAAACCAGGGGCAGTCGAGAATTACACACTGCATGGGTTAAAATTGCATTGTAGAATAGGAGAACATGGGACAGTCGAGCATTGGTTTTGTTTGGTTTAAACAACGGATCAACATCATGGCACAAGGGTAGTAACCCATAAGTGCTCCGTTCTACTTCTGACTCAAGTCTGAGTTCGAAGAATCTCAGCTCAGTGAACAAACTCACATATAGCATGGGTTAAAGTGGCATTAGAAAACGAGAGAACAGAGGTGATCAGGGGCAGTCAGGCATTCAATACAGCAAGGTTGAAGTGTTTGGGATCTATAGTTTAGTACAAATAACATACGGCGACAACCGCAAATATTACGGATTGTTTTTTGTTTTTAAATTTTGTTTAACTGCAGTGTATCTTCTTATTTTTTTTTACAGAAATCTTCTGGGGGGGGGGGGGGGGGGGGGGGGGGGACTGACGAACAACCAGAATTTTCCGCTGCAGTTTACAGCACTTGGAAGAAGAAGAAGAAGAAGAAGAAGAAGAAGAAGAAGAAGAAGAAGAAGAAGAAGAAGAAAATCCCACGAATACTGACTGATCTATATATACAATATAGTTCTAGCACCATACGCCGGATGGGTTAATGTCGTGAAACAATTTCCTTTACTGACTTTAATGTTTTAATGTCTGTCTATCTGTCCATCCATCCATTTATCCACCCGTCCGTCTGTCTACCTACTGAAAAGCGGAAAGATTGTCCCCTCTCAACTCTGTTAACAAATGCAAGCACAATCAACACCCTTCCCCACCTCCCAACCCCCTCTTTCGACAACACCCCTATCAGACAATGAACAAACAAACAAAAAAAAAAAGTAACTGAGATGATAGATCAACATCAGAATGGCACTGCCTCCTGTCTGTGGCTATTGAGTCCCGCTCGGTGAAAAAGACAAGCATAGGCGAGTACATGATCCTGACAGGGCCGAGTGAGGGATCACACACGGCTGTCAGTGGAAGTTACATGCCGCACCATGCCGGCATTCCTGATCGCTGGATGACATGTTCGTGTCCCGGACCATACCTGCAGATTCTGGCGAACACGGCAGAAGGTTGTCAAGGTGATAGCGGAAAGGAACGCGACGGAGTTGGTGGGAAATACTCCTACCAGTGGATTGTTCGTGGTGCACACATACAGCTGGTTTCAGGCATTCTCGTCGAGTCGAGTCTAAAGAATCGACTTCGTTGCACCAGGTTTCTATCCCATATGACAAGCCGCCTGCCGAAATCACCGCACCAAGAAAAAAAAAAAAAAACTCCTTAGCCCCGGCGTCGATCCACAGGGATCTCCGTAAAACTTGCACTCGTGAGACGAACTCCAGTGCGCAAGCCTGGACCTTTTCGTCACGAAGACCCTTCAGACTTTCTATACCAAGTAGAGCCGCTGCATAAGTATCCTTGCCTATCAAACTGGTCTACTTGCTATGCCTTTCATACAGATAAATTGTATTTTTTTTTCTGCTTTTCATCAGGCTAGTCTACTTTTTTTCTGCCGTCTATCAAGATAGTCGCTTTTTTATACACTTCATCAAGACAATCTACTTTGTTTCCCTTTCATCAAGATAGCCTACTTCTTATCTACCTTTCATCAAGAAAGGCTATTTTTGTCTGCCTTTCAAAAGACCCGAACTGATAGGGCTAGGCGTAAATTGTATAGACCAATCGGCGCTCGCCGGGTAATGTGATGAACATTACCTCCGCCGACATTACTTCTAATTACTTTACCTTCTTCTTCTGCTTTTCTAGCCCCCAATGGAGAATAGGCCCTCAACCAACTCACACCAAAGCATTCTATCCTTTGCTATCGCATGCAGCGCCCTCCCCCCCCCCCCCCCCCATCTTTCTAATTACATTCTCCATCTCCCTTCTCCGTGTACTTGTAAGGCCTTCCTTTATACCTATGCCCCTGTAGTACATATTTAAGGCCGAGAGCCAATGTAATTTTTGACCGGTTTCTTCAGGATCTGAAATTACCAAATGTAAACGATTGATACAGAGAAGGAAAAAACAAATGTTCTGGCTCAC